GGGGGGGGGGGGGGGGACATGGGGACGTAAAAAAGGGGATTCGCTATTATCAATGAAGGTAATAGAATATATTTTCTAAAAATATATTGAGTTATTAACATGGAACCCAAAGGTTTATCGATCCCAAGGGGTGCAAATTCATAATAAGCATATAGAAATTATTGTACGCCAACCAAAAAATCTAAACTCGACCCGAACTTTCAGCACAGGCCTTTTCGAGTGGAATAGAATTGAGCCGGGGAAACTCGATTTTTTTTAATTAATAAATAACTGCCGCCATAAAAGGCAGCAACCGACTGCCCTTTTTAAGGTAGTCGAGTCAACTGCCTCAAAAAGGCAATAGTGTTTCCACCTTTAAATTATTTTTTTTACCTTTTTTTTTTTTTAAAATAACTACCGCCTTAAAAGGCATGACTAAAAATGGTAGCAACACTGCTGCCTTTAATTTAATTTTTTTTTCCCTCCTTTTTAAGGTCACGTGATCCTGAGCAGCACAGGCTGACAGGCTGGCTCAAGCTCGAGCCGAGCCACACAGGCTGGCGCAGGCTCACCTTGATTCTATCGAGCCTCTTATCAGGTCTGCTCGAGCTTTTTTCGAGTCGAGCCATGAGCGGTTCGAGCCGATGAACTAAACTGACTTCCCTATATAATACTAAACAAATTTAAGTTGTATGCAATAAATAGGATAAATGGCATCGGTGTCTCAAACCTTTCCAAAAAATTGACATGGAGATCTGCTAGGCTGACAGGGTTGAGGACAAGGAAAATAAATAGAGGATGAGGTGGATGCACCTCAACCCTTGTTTATTTTTTCTATCACCAGCTAGGGATGTCAGTCGGTCGAGTCGAGCTCAGCTTGTCCAATATTGAGAAAATTTATCACATAATCCTTCCATTTTCACTTGTTTATTGTGAAGAAACACCTTTGCTTTTTGTTGTTCTTCTTGTCAAGGCTTGTTTAATCCTACAAACTATTTGCTGAAAATCCTTAAAAAGCATTGGATACCATGCGGTCTCATGGTACTATTTATTTGGCCGTTGGAGGCCCTTTTTTCTTGTTGTAAATTCAAAATTGATGACTTTTGGCTTAAAGTTGGGCACAATTTCGTGAATATGGTGTATGCCTATATATATTGGTGTTGGAACATAAAATCCACATCAGCAAATTCTAGAGACTTCCTAGTTAGCTAGTTATTTTCTCTATAGATACTAGAGTTTGTACCCATTTTAATTGATTGCGTTTTAGTCTCCAATCCCTCCTTTCATGGAGGTCTCTTCCTTCTATATGGAGTGTCTTTCCTCCTTTGTGGAGTTTCTTACTCTTCCTCCTATTATGGAGTGTTAATCATCCTCCTATTTTGGAGTTGTTTGTTCCTCCTATCATGGAGTGTAATTCCTCCTTTAATGGAGTGGTTTGTTCTTCTCCTTATGGAGTTTAATACATTATTTTTCATTCAATAAATCTAATATGGTATTAGAGCATATCAGTGCTTCCTGTTGCTGTATTTTTTCTGAGATTTAATCTCTTTTTCCTGTGTTCTGCTGAATTAAAGCAGATCTATGATTTTTTTTTTTTTTTTGGGTATAATTCTGGAAGTTTCATTTCTAGTAGATTTTCATTTTGTCACCAGAAATAAGATCAGTTTATCATTCATCCACTATACGATGATACATCTGAATTAGGATCCTCTGCAAATGCAATGGAGGTCTCTTCTCTATCTTCATATGATACAACAGCCAGAGACACCGGAATTCTTATCCTCTGTCACAGCTTTATCATTCTCTGAACTCTGATAACTTAGACGAACATCCATTGATTCAGGTACTATGAGTTGCATCCATGATCACGATATGTTCGAGGTTGTGCTTATTCTATTAGTCAACTCAAACTCAAAGAGAACGAACATGACATTCAACTCGTGTGAGTTAAATTCTGTTGGAAAACTAAGATTGCTAGATGAACATCATCATATTTCATGCGATTGGTTGCATTAGACAGATATGGAATTTCATTGATTTGAGTATTGTAAAATTGAATTGCTACTGTTAAAGTTGATGTTACTATGGACAAAGAAGAAGATGAGGCTTTGGATGATTATGCACAAGCTTTGATGTGCACATAAGGTATCTGATAAAATGTCAACAAAGCTCTTCTGCATCAGATTTTGTGAGTCCTTGTGCAGAGGCTATGGTACTTAAAGATTCAACTCGCTACTTCCTAAGGAGTTCACTTGGTCCCAGAAATTGAGAAGAAATATGTTCATCGCATTTATGATGCAATTGCTCCACATTTAGTTCTACCAGGCTTGCAGAATGGCCCAAAGTGCAAATGTTTTTGAACTCTTTGCCTCGAGGATCGCTCGTCTTAGATATTGGATGCGAAAATGGGAAATAATTGGATTCAAATCCAGATTGTTATTTGATTGGCTGTGATATTAGTCCTCCTCTTATCAGTATATATGTGAGGGAAAAGAGAGTACAGCACTCTTCTGCCTGCAAGCCTCCTTAAGCATATAAACATCTTTGCACCATTAGGAGAATGGTTGTTTCACTCATTAATCTTCAAGATGGATCTCCTAGTCCATCTTGAGGGGGGTGTGTTGGAACATAAAATCCACATCAGCAGATTCTAGAGACTTCCTAGTTAGCTAGTTATTTTCTCTATAGATACTAGAGTTTGTACCCATTTTAATTGATTGCGTTTTAGTCTCCAATCCCTCCTTCCATGGAGGTCTTTTCCTCCTATATGGAGTGTCTTTCCTCCTTTGTGGAGTGTCTTACTCTTCCTCCTATTATGAGTTAATCATCCTCTTATTTTGGAGTTGTTTGTTCCTCCTATCATGGAGTGTAATTCCTCCTTTAATGGAGTGGTTAGTTCTTCTCCTTATGGAGTTTAATACATTGTTTTTCATTCAATAAATCTAATAATTGGATCCATGTTGAAGGCAAACACATTACAAAAACATCAAGGTTCCATATTACTTTCAAAATCAAAGATCAAAATCTCTAAAAGCCATATTCATATTCATTCTTTGTGTTCTTCAAGTTTTCTAGAATTTGTACTTGTGTTTTTGTGTTTAAATCATTGCAAGGCTTGTTATAATCCTGCAAACCATTTGCCAACAATCTTCGAAACATCTCAAATTCATAGGAGAATGAGCAAATATCGTTTGAAGATAACAATATCGTGTTCAAGCCATTCATTGATACAAGTTCGAGATTATCTTGTTATTGACGTTTCCGATTCATATTTTATGATCTCTACTCCAATCCAGTGAAGATTTTTGGAAAAATAATAGCAATGGAGAAGAAAATTATAAATGTATCTCAATAAAGGTTTGAATACGAAATTAATCTCGCTGTCCTCAAACGTTATTTGTCTCCTTTCCAAAGCTTTTTAAGGATTTTCGAGAAATAGTTTGTAGGATTAAACAAGCCTTGACAAGAAGAACACTAAAAAGGAAAGGTGTTTCTTCACAATGAACAAGTGAAAATGGAATGATTATGTGATAAATTTTCTCAATATTGGAAGTGTATTTGGGGATAAATTTTAATGGAACTCAATATTTTTTTCTTGCACTTGGATCACCTATTTATAGGCCCTGGCAAGTTTTTCACAAAATGGTGCAAAATAAGGATGAAAAGTTACCAATTTCAAATAAAAAATGATCAAAAACTAAGCATTAGGTTAGTTTTTTGTAACCATGCGACCGCATGGACTATATCACAACCCATGCGACCGCACGGTCGTATGGTTACAGCCTCCACGACCCTCCCATTTTCGGGAGGGCCTCATGCGACCGCATGGGCTTAATCCATGCGGTCGCATGGTTAAGCCCCCCTCTTTTTTTCTTTTGATTTTGAACAACAAACAAATAAATTTCCAACAATCCCCTACTTGTTCAAAATTCATTTTGATCACATAATCAAATATCAACACTTATGCATAAGAATTAGATATCTTTCGATTTAAATCTATTCATAGTGTAAATCTCATAAAATATTATCAGAATTCTAGGTGGCTAATGTGCCTTGAACCAATTATTCTTTGTGACAATACCGATGAAATCACACACACAAGTGTTATGCTTTTCACTAGTTCTTCTAACTCGCTTAGTGCTAATATGACCTTGCACTAATCATATTTCATTGAACTTTTAAAGAGAGAAAACTCCAACTCTCTAATGAGGCGGCACCACCTCGAAGTTGATATAGGCAAAGTTCTTCCAGTATCTTTGTTAGTTTTATAGATACTTGTACTCCGTACTGA